TTTTTTTTTTTTGATTGTCTGCGATGTTTGGATACTGTTAGACCCATCACGCGAGGCTCTCTCATGAGGAAATACTACACTGGTAATACTAGTTTTCTATTCCTTATTTCTGTTTTCTTCTTCTTCTTCCCAACTTCTCTCTTTTAGGAATCCACTCTTTTCTTTATTTGTTTATTTCTCTTATTATTATTATTATTATTATTATTATTATTATTATTATTATTATTATTATTATTATTTCCTTCTCATGTTTTATACTCTTCTTCTTTTGTATATCATCGTCTTTTATTTCCCCCCTTCTTTCTTGTTTGTGTTTTTTCTTATTACTATTTAGACGTTAACGTTAACGGGGCCTCTCTTTCTCTCTTTCTTTCTCTCTCTGCGTATGCGGGGTTACTGAATGCAGAAGAGACTCACGATATTTGGGGAGCCATTGGCCTACTGGGCAGAAGATATGCTTAAGGCCGCACTCTCCACAAACACAAACACAGGAGATTCACTTTCACATACTAAAGTATATGTACTGACTTATCCACAGATTCATCAACTATTCCTCCCTGTAAAACCACATCGCTTGTGGAGTGTAATGATTCCAGAAGAGGAACTGGAATACACACTACACGCAGGGATCGCACGAGCCACACTTGTACATTCACAACGTCTGCGAAGATTAGATGTTAATCGCGGTGATACTCCTGTTGTGGTGGACATCACAGCAACGGCTCTCTCTGCGAGGGGAGTGGCATTAACCAATGATGAGAGTACTCTGAGTAAAATGAGGGAATTGGCAAAAGAACGTCATTATGATTCTCCATTTTGGCTTACTCGTGAGGAAATGGAATATTTTGTTTTTTCAAATAACAGGTTACAAAGATTGTTTAATTGTAATATACCTCATTCTAATGGCGGATTGGATAATTATAAGAAGATTCCAAGTATTGAAGTGGAAAATGAACGTAAGCAAAAATGTCATGTGATGAACCTATCAGAGTTTGCAAAAATCACATCCAGTACATTTAGCTTTAATTCTTCTTTATCATCTTCTTCTTCTAATAATAATAATAATAATATGATGATGACGAATACAACTGTCTCTCCTGAAGGACGTGGTTTAAATCATAACACTGCATTTCACATGTTTCGTCAATTTAGACCAATTGATATTCGCACAAAGTCTTTATTTCCCCCCGACATTGCGGATGCCCTTCGTAAGTACAGTATGACCACTGGCTGTTGGTGTACTGTCTGGGGAACTCCTAATGACTACACGGCGTTGGATTTAAAAGTTCCTGAAGGACCGCTGGGCGTGTGGGTATTTGATGCGGAGGACTCTCCATTGTTTCTCACACCGGCGTTAACGTGCGATAACCCTGTGAAGGCTCTCACACACGTCTATAAAGACGATCACATTATTTTCACACAACCATAATATATATATCACAGTGTATAAATATATCAACACACAGAGAGATAAAATAAATACATACATATAAACAAGATGGGATATGGGAAATAGGGCATTATAGATGTATGGGATTTTCCTTTTTTTTCTTTTTCTTTACTTTGAGGGTGATAATAACAAAAAGGTAATAAAAGAAAAGAAATAGGGTGGGGTATCTTTTTTTCTTTCTTTTGTTTTGTTTTCAGTACTTTACGCATTAGTAGTTCAGTTATTAATATATATATATATATATATATATATATATATGGTGTTCTATATGTTTTTTTATTTATTTATTTATCCTTTCTTTTTCTTTATTTGCTTCAGCTTTAGCAAAACGAGAGACACACTTTCACGGAGTAATAATATATATATATACGCGCATATAAACGTATGCATATATAAGAAAGAAGAACAGAAAAAAAAGAGAAATATACATGAATATACTACATGCAGAGTCAGAGGGTCGGTTTGAGATAATTGCCGCACACGCTGCAGGTCTCACTACCATTCTTAAATCTCTCCATAGTGAACTCAGTCGGCTTCTGATGCTTACTAATGTAGAGTTGAGGATATCGCATGAACATCTCGCTGATGCCCGTCGCACGATTCGTGCACTTCGCACATCCACAGCGAACAGTAATAACAATAGTAACAAAAAAGAAATATCTCAAGAAAGATTTCCAGATGAGGCGAGAGTTCGAGAAGAATTACGCCAACAGCGTGAGGAGAATAAACGACTGTTATTGGCAATGAAAACACAATTGCCATTTGATAAGAGTGTTGTATTGGCGTTAGCAGATTCTTATGAAAATGAGTTGGAACGATTACGACGACAAATTGGAATGATGAGAGAGAATTATATCGATAATCAAATATCAGATGCTTGGCTAAAGAATGAATTAGGTCATATGAAAAAATCAGTTTCACCTTCAAAACATACAGATGTGAAATTAAATACTACAACTACTAATGCTACTACTAATATTGATGAGAATAATGATTGTATAGATGTATATAATACTTCACGACCATCTTTTTATCCCTTTAGAGGACGTTCTTCTATGGATCGAAACTCTAAAAGTGTTAGTTGTCCACGTATTGACACAAGTCATAGTCTTGAAAAAGAGAAAGTTATCTGGCAAGATTATGTTTCTTTAAAGGTGACTCGCCATTGGAGTAGATTGTACTGTGTCCTTAGTCAATCCGGAACTTTATTATTTTTTGATAATGCTGATGATGTCTCTCAGAGTCGCCATATTATTTTTTTACATTCAGTTAAACGTATTAGACCAGTATCGTCTCCTCCACAGTTATTTGCAGTACAACTTGAGTATAATAAAGAAGCGGGAGGTTATCATGTTGAAATTGCGTTTGCGGGAAAAACTGAACGCTCGCTATGGATGGTTTTACTACACAGTCAATTGAATTTGCGTGTGGATAATAATCATTAACTAATTACTGTATCGAATTCCTTTATTTTTTTATTTTCTTCGTTATTTTTTTTTTTTTTTATTTTTCTTTACCAAGGATTATCTTTTGTTTTGTTTTATTTTTGTTGTATAATGATATGATGGCTTTTAATTTTGCTTGTTGTTGTTGTTGTTGTTGTTGTTGTTTATATCATGACTAAAGTGAATATTATTAGAGTACATAAATGTGGTTTTGCTTTTTTCTATTCTTTTGAATGGAAGATTCATTATTTATTATATTATTCTCGGTTCTTTTTTTTTTTTTCTCTTCTTTCTCCATTTGTTTCTAGTTTCTTATGCGTCATTCGAAACAACATCATCAACAACAACAACCAGAGTTTAGGGAATCGACTTTATACAGTGGTGGAAGTAGCTGCACAACAAAGGAGGAAATAGTTCGAGCACGATTGTTAGCTGAACTTTCATCTCTGCGTGAAAGACACGATGCTCTTCGCAAGAGAGCCATGGGAGTTGAAAAACAACAACAACAACAACAACAACAACATGAAGAAGATGAACACGAACGGGAACAACAAATCTCAGGTACGAAGATGTTAGGGATGGATGATAGTGGACGTGGTAGTCCTTTTCTTGGTCAGACGGATAGAGATGCCATTGAGGCTTTCTTCAACGACTCAGAAGATGATTTTACGAGAGAATTTAATGAGGGACGTGGTAAATATCAACGGAGTGATTTATTAGATGGATTGATTCTTCCTCAAAAACGGAAATAGAGGAAAATTTCCTAATTCTTGCTTAAGTTTCTTCGATTATTGAGAGAATTAAGATGTTATATCTCTCCACTTTTCCCTTCTCTCAGTTTTGTTGTTATTATTATTGTTAGAATGTGTGCTTTCTCATGTGCCAAAGTACTAGAGTTTTTTTTTTCCCCAGTAAAATCTCATTTGGATCTTACATAAAAAGTATTTGTTCAGTTTGTTGGAGTATCGGTTGTTATTGTTGTTGTTTTTTTTCTGTATCCTTCTTGCTTCTTTTTTTTTTTTTTGTGGTTGGTTACCTTTTCATGTAATACTAGTGTGAATGGCAAAAAAAAAAAAGGAGTCATTACCGCTACTCTTTTCATTTGTGTGCCCCTTTCCCATACTTCTTCTTCTTCCTACTGACTTTTTTCCTTTGATTTGTTTCCCCCCCCATCTCTCACTACCATTATTATTTACCTCTTCTCTCTCTCTCTCTCTCTCCTTTTTTTCCACACTCTCTCGTATTACTATTCCCATTTCACTCACTGCAGGTGTCTATTGCGATGGTTGCTGCCGTGTCCAACTCCAAGATCCGCCGCATCGGCAAGAAGAAGGGTGCCACGATGAAGGACGTGCACGCCTGGCGCTGGGTGAAGATGTGCAGCCGCCACTTCAAGCGCGAGGGCCGTCTCTTCGTGCCCAACTGCGTGGAGATCGTCAAGACATCCCACGGCCGCGAACGCGCCCCGCAGCACCCCGACTGGTACTACATCCGCTGCGCCGCCGTGCTGCGGGCGGTGTACATGCGCCCCGGCGTCGGCTACGGCGGTCTCAGCAAGCGCTTCAGCAGCAAGAAGAACCGCGGCAGCCGTCCAGAGATCACCACACGCGCCTCACGCGGTCTGCTCCACTGGGCGTGCAAGAGCCTCATCAAGTTGGGTCTCGTTGAGAAGTGCGAGGAATCCGGACACCGCATCACAAAGGCTGGTCGCAAGGTGGCCGACTCCATCGCCTTCCAGGTACAAGTGCGCCGCTTCGGTGAGAAGAAGAGCAACTAGAGGTACAGGATGGTATACAACCATTTGTGGAGTAGACATCTGAATATATTTTTATTTTATTTCTGGTTTTATTTCATACTTTGACACAATCCTCAACCTTCTTCTTCTTCTTTGTTTTCTTTTTTCTCTATTTCTCTATCGACTGGAGGAAAAAAAAAAGCAAAGAAAAAAACATGATGAAGGAGGAGGTTGAGAGGAGATGCAAAGAATGAATAAAAACACATAAACAAAAAAAAAAAAAAAATAAAGAATGAGAGGGTACTCACTCTCTGTATGTTGGGAATGTTAAGTCCCAATGGTTAATTTATGTATATATTAAAAAAAAAATCTTTTGTTAGGGTTGGATTCCAATTTTTTTTTTTCTTCTTTCTTTTTTTGTTTATTCTAAATTAGATTAATTATCCAGGATGACGTCTTACGGTGTGGTGGAAAACCCTGAAAAGGTTGATTACAAGGTTAAATGTTGTTGTCAGACTACTGATGGTGTGTACTTCCAGGTACCAAAGGACTTCTTCCGCCTAAATGCTAATTTGTTAAGAAGGAAGTTACTTGTTGCAGCACCATTCAGTGTTCCGTTAAATACAGAAGATTTTAAACAGTTACTTGTTCTCATGGAAGCTTCTATTGTTTCTGCAGCTGCTGCTACAGTAGCTACTGATGCTCCTGGAGGTGAAGAGAAGCAAAAGCCACAATGGATGAAGAATCTGAATAAACGCCAGCAGAAATTTGTAGACGCTTGCCTTGGTATAAGCACTTGGGAAGGGCGAGATGTATGCTTTTATGAAGAAAAGTTACCGAAGGAGAATGATGTTGTTTGGGTAAAAATTATTCAAGTAAATGATACTTCTGCCGTTGTTCAACTTCTTGAGTATGGTAATCATGAAGGTATTATTCCTTATACTGAAATTACGAGGTTACGTATTCGTGCCATTGGTAAGGTTATTAAAGTAGGAAAGAGTGAAGCCGCCCAGGTTATTCGTATTGATAAAGACAAAGGATACATTGATTTATCCAAAAAGCAAGTAACCCTTAAGGAAGCAAAAGAATGTGAGGCACGTTTTTTTAAAGGTAATGAAGTGAGATCTATTGTTTGTCATGTTGCTGATGAATGTGGTATTCCGGCAACTCAGGCGATGGAAATGATTGCCTATCCACTTTACCGTCGTGAAGCTGGAAAGCATGCGTGGAATTGGTTGCAGGAACTTAATCATACCCGTGATATTGAAGGAATTCTTGGACCATTAAAACTTCCAGAGAAGGTTCAACAAGTACTTCTTACCACTTTGGAACACAGCATGCGAACAGAGATTACCACAATTCATGCAGATATTGAAATGACATGCTTTCAATGTGATGGTGTTAATGCTCTTCGAGAGGTTTTGCTCATTGGACGAAATTTTAAGCAAAATGAAGAACCACAAATTCCCATTTCTGTTACAATTGTTGGACCTCCAAAGTATCGCCTGCGTGCGAAGACTGAGTTAAAGGAGGAAGGTATTCTTCGAATGAAGGAAGCTATTGAAACAATGAAGATTGAGATGGCTAAACGTGGAGGAATACTTAAAGTGGTGTCTGGTCCCTACGCTCTTGGAGAAGAAGAACATGCTAAAGAGGAGAGAAATGACTATCAGGACGATGACGATGATGATGATGACGAAACGGATTGATGAGAATGAAGATGTGTTTGACAGCTCTTCTAGACTCTTTACACACCTCTGTGGTCACGTCGTTTTTTTTTTTTTTTTGCTTCTTTTGATTCTTTAATACAAGCATATATATAATATATATATTTATATATATCGACGAGAAAAAAATGAAACAATTTCAAGGAATCAAAGAAAGAAAAGAAAAAAAAAATTTCGTCCGTTATTGTTAAATAAGTAATGATGAAAGGAAAAAAAAAAAAAAAAGAAAAACGGCAGAGAGTTTAGGAGTGTGAGAGTATCTGTGTGTCTCTGTGTATTTGTGAGTGTATATGTGAATTATTGGGATTCCTTTTCTTGGCATAAAGTAATGTATTGTTTTTTTTTTTTTTTTCTTTTCTCCTGTTTCCCTACTATTTGTACGAACTAGTACGACTACACACACACACACACATTGCCTGATTGATAGATTCCATCTTATCTTCCATTTACGCTGCCATGACGTCTACTGGCAAACTTCGCCCTGTGAATCTCGACGAGGTGGACGAGACCACCGGCTTCAAGACGGCGGAGCTGGCGGTGTGGACGCAGTACGACACGACGTACCTGCAGCGGCCGGAGGAGGACCGCGAGGCGGCGGACGTGGACGCGTGGGCCGACGGCTTCTGCGAGGCGATGGAGGCGGCGGGGCTGCAGTACCCCCGGGCGTTTGTGCGGTCCGTCTGCGTGCTCGGCATCTACGCCGGGCTGCGGGATGAGTTCCAGCAGCGCACCGGCTCTGGGCGGGCGGTGTACCCAAACGGGGATCGCTACGATGGGGAGTTCTTTGAGGGAAAGAAACACGGCACCGGTCGCTATGTGTTTGTCAGCAGGGGGAAAAGTGAGTGTGATAGAATCGTAGAGAAGGAACTGCAACGGCGAGATGAGTCGCAGTCAGATGAGGCATTTATTAGCAGTGTGGCAGAGAAGTATAAACTCAGTCAACAGATTGTGGCATGGGTACTGGAGTATGGATTTCACCCATGTTATCATGGGGACTATGTACGAGGGAAGCGTACAGGGCAGGGACTGATGAAGAATAAAGATGGTACCGTCTACAAGGGAGAGTTTGTTGAAAATAAAAGGGAAGGACAGGGAATGTTTTACTACTTGAATGGAGATATTTTTTCAGGAACTTGGAAGAATGGATTAAAGCATGGTTATGGAACATATCATTTTGTAGGAGGTAATGAATACCGTGGCTCTTGGGTCGATGGTGTGTTCACACAAGGTCAATGGATCTTCCCAGATGGTACATATTATGAAGGATTATTTAATAAAAAGAACAGACCCTGTGATGATTGTGCTACCATGCACTATCCAAGTACTAAAATGGTTCAAACTGGTGTCTTTAAACGTGGAATTTGGGCTCCTTCTAGTGAACTCATGGTGTGTGGAGAGACACCCATTGATGGAATGACTTGGACCGATTAGAGTCTTCCTATCTTATGTACTTGTTATGTATTTCAAGAAGAAAGAGACACACACATAAACACAAACAGAAGAAGAAGAATAAAAGAGTATGAGACGAGAAAACAAAAAAAAAAAAGAGAGAGAGGGAAAAAAAGGATTCAGGCAAAACATCTCGTGTAGATTTTTTCTTTTTTTTTTTTCTTTTTTGTTGTTGTTGTTGTTGTTGTTGTGTGTATGTCTGCATTTGTTAGTGCTATTTAAAGCGAAAAAAAAAAGAATAATAATAAAACGCATTGTATTTTATTTTGTGTATTGCTGTTTTTTTNGTTTTTGTCTCTTTTCACAATATCATTTCTTCATTTCCTTCTTTTCTTTTCTATTTGTATTTTGATAATAATTTGCAATCTATATATACATATATATCTGTATTGTGTTCTCAGCTTATTCATCATGGTGTACACGCGTTGGAAGTGCGACCGTTTACCGGTCTTTCAGATAAAGCTGTTCACGCAGGAGTACCCACTTCACGCCGCTGTTGGTATTCTCAGCATTATGTTTCTCTGGAAACACATGGGCCACTGCTCAGAGGAGACGGAGCGTAAACACGGATGGTGGGCGGGATACCCATACTGGCGTGATCCCATTGGTCGCAGAAATGAGGCCAAGTATAAGCAACTTATTCTCACTAACGATGTTGACATTACGGATCCAAAATGGACAGGATGTTCACGTGAGCAACTTGAGAGATTGAGGGCAATTGTTTAGTGCATAGTAGAAAATGAAGGGAATTAGGAATTATGTTGTGTGTTTGTGTGTCTGTGTGGTTTTTCCTCATTGATCTTCATATTTATATATTTATATTCGTTGTAGGACATTGATGCTTAGTTGATAACTATTTCGATTTCTTTTTCTATTGGTTTTCCATATACCTTTTTTTTTTTTTTTGTTGGTGTGCAGGTGTTTCATTACACCTTCACCCCACTTCTTATACAACCATTGAAAACGAATACAACTTTTAAGGTTTCTTTTCTTTTTTTTTTTCTATTCTTTTCGTTTTTAATTCTATCATAAAAATTTTGGTTCACAGAAAGCAAAAGAAAAAGAAAAAGAAAAAAAAAAGAACAAAAATAAATAAACAGGGGTATAAATAAATCTCAGAAAAGGGGTACCTGAAAATGGTGGTACTCTTTTGTCTTTTCATGTTGATGGTTTCCATACCAGGATCCTGTGAAAAACTGAAACCAATGACAGAGATATTTCCCTCTAACGGTGATACCTTTTTGCATCTCACAGTTCGTGCGAAAAAAGTCTCTATTCCTTTACGTGGATTTGGTAAAGGTGCGGTGTTTACATACATGGGTCGTCTCTATGAGTATGGGGGTGTTTCCTCTATTCCTGGTCCTATTGTTCACATTAGGGCTGGAGGGAGACTCTTTTTAACTTTATATAACGACTTGGGTGAACAAATGTACGAAGAAACAATGGAAAGCATGTATAATTATCATGGTGTTAACGAAACAAATGTTCATTTCCATGGAATTCATGCAGATCCGAATGAAGATGATGTTTTTAAAACCGCAACTCCTGGACGTTCTTTAAAGTATAAACTTCATATACCAAAAGAACATCTTCCTGGATTACATTGGTATCACACACATGCGCATGGTTCATCATATTTATTACTTATGGGTGGTTTATTTGGACCATTAATTGTTGATGATACAACAAATCAACCACTTTCATCATTACCATCTATTGTATTAATGATTCACATGTATCGTTTGGGAACATCTACTTTATGTGATGGAAGTCCAATGCAAACTGTGGATATAGCTATTAAAAATAATATGTCCTCAAATCCAACTATAAAAGATAATCTTGGTAAAGAATTGAAATTACCATCTGATTTGTTTTTTGTAAATGGACAACATAAACCTATTGTAGAAATTGTAAAAGGACAATCCACAATTCTTCGTTTAGCTTTTGCTGCTGGATCTTGTCATTTGAATATTAGTCTTCCTAAAGAGTGTGAATTTCATCTTTCAGCCATTGATGGAATTCCATTAAATGTTTCACGTGAACTGAAAGAACGTTGGCTTTACTTTACAACTGCAACTCGCTATGATGTGATAACACTATGTGTAGAAAAGCCTAAAGAGGAACTTCCTATTGTTTTTAATGAGGCAAATGAGACAATTTTATTTATTAAAGTTGTATCACCTGTAGAAGGTCAAAAAGGAAAACATCAAAAACTAACTTTTCCTCTACATTCTCATTATAATCAAGTGAAATATTTACGAATAGATGAACCAACCGTTTTACGAGATATTTCATTTTCACAAATGGGAATTCCATCACCAAAGCCATACTATGTTATTGGACAAGGTACAAACTGTACATCTCTTGAAAATTCCACCACATGTTATCATGAACATTTTTCAGGACGGAAAGGTAATCATATGTGTCAATACAACGGTTTTGTTATTCCTTTAAATGCTGTGGTGGAAGCCCGTGTATTTGGTGATCCTACGGATGATATCCCCCATCCACTTCATCTACATGTGAATCATTTCGTCTTTGTCCGTTTTACCCCACGTAAAGGTGGACAACATGAAAATACATCCATGATGAATTATGGTATTTATCCTGGAGAAGTGCGGGATACTATTCCTATTCTCGATGGAGAAACTATTATTCGCTGGCGGGCGGCGACTTTTACTGGGGAGGTGGTCTATCATTGCCATGTGTTAACACATGAAGATCAAGGCATGATGACATCTTATCTTGTTATTAATGAGAATATAGGTAATAATAGAAGGAAGGAGAAAATGGGAGGAAAAGAAGAAGAAAAAGAAGAAAAAGAAGAAGTGGAGAATAAAAAGATGATTTCAACAAAACCGGGTGTTGTTGATGATTTAGAGAGTATATTTTATTTTGGTGGGTTGAAGAGAAAAGAATTGATTTTTCTCGTACTCTCCGTTATGTTTTTTCTTGCTGCTTTCATTGCTGCTCTTATTAGATGGTTTAGAAAGAATCCTCCTGAATTCGGGCAGTGGGTGCGCAGACGGAAGGATGATGTGCTGACGAGATTACACAATAGTGTAAATGCAAATGAAATGGAACGGACACCTTTGATGGGAAGTGCTTAGCGTATCAGAAATACAGGCAGCACACTCAGGTAAAAGAAAAAATAAAAAGAAAAAAAGAAAAGAAGCAAATAAGTAAAAAGAATTAAAAAAATAAAAAAAGGTGGAATAATTTTGAAAAACGTACGGGATTTCTATTATTTTTGTTTTTTTTTTTTCTGGTGGTTGATATTGTAGTTGTGATTGTTCTTGATTTCTCATTATATAAAATGTACGACTCTGTTTCTCTTTTTTTTTTTCTTATTATAAAGTGGGATGGCGCGCGAAATATGAGCAAAGAAAGAAAATAAATAAATATATATATATATATATATATATATATAATAAGATAAAAAAAAAAAAAAANAAAAAAAAAAAAAAACTACAATGGATATGGGGGAGTGGGGAAAGATAAGGTTTGTGAACTCCAACTTGGTTGCGGCTTTTTCAGTTTTTAGTGTAATTATTAACTCTCGAGATGGAAATATTATTATATTTTTTTTTTTTCTTTTTTTTGCTTACGTTACCTGAATGGTGTGGTCTGTTGTGATGCTGTTTATTTCAGGATTGTACTTCTCTTCTCTCAGACTCCTTCTCATGTATTTTTATTTTTTATTTTTCCTTCTTCTTTCGTTTTTTTGTGTTTCACTATCACAGTCATCTTCTTAAACAGTTTAACGGACTTAAGCTTGGCGACACTCTATCACACCCTGAGGGTGAAATCGTTCGATGAACTGTGATGCCTTTTTTTCTTTTTATTATTGATATCTCACCCTTTTTCTTTTTCTCTCTGTGTGTGTGTGTTTATGAAGTGATCTTGACTTGAGGGCGAGATATTATGTTGTTGTGTATAGTGGTTGTTCTTATTATTATTATTGTTGTTGTTGTTGTTTTATCCATCTCATTTTTATTTTATTTTATTTTTGTACACTTCTCTTCTTTCTTTCTCTCTTTCCTTCTCTCTTACTTGCATTCACGTAGTTTTCTTTCAGTTTCCTCATCACACGAGTCGTGTCTCTGTGTGTGTGTGTGAGTGAGTGAGTGAGTGATTGATATTGTGCGGTAGCAGAAAATGGCACAAACAGGCGAATCACCACAGGGCACTACCAATATTACTACTAATAATACTAATACTACTAATAGTAACAGTACTGGTAATACTACCGGAGAGCGGTTTCCCTGTTGTGTTACGGTGGAGGATATTAGTGTATCCCTCACTGCCGCGGCAACACCGTCTATAGTAACTTCTTACTGGGATGAAATTCGGGTTGTGATGAGGCGGGATGGTGTCACTCAGTGTACACGTTGGCTATCACCATCCATGGCATTCCATCATGTTTGCAATACAACAACAACAACTGCTGGTAATAGTGTTAATACTATACCAAGTGAGAAGGGAGATGGGATAACAAGTGAACCCCAATCGTTATTATCACAATCACAGCCAACATTAGATGTACAATGGTCCTCTATTAATACAGTTGGCTTTAATGTACACTTTCGGTATTTATTAGGCCAGAGTGTGGATCACTCATTAGATCCCGGTTATCAACGTGCGGTGTACTCTTCCAATATAAAGTATCTGGATGCATACAACACAGACACTGCTGACCGAGTACGGCCAAAGGTATCTCCTAAAACTATACATCCCTTTATATTTACAGTTGAATGTCGAAAGAAGGAAAAGGTGTTGGATCCTGCACGTGCTCAAGATGGTGAACAACGACCTACGAGTGCAAGTATGGAAGCTTTCGCTGCATACTACGCGAAGAGTAAATCCAAAATGTCTGCTTTTTTAAAAAAGGTATCAGCAAAGTTAAGTGTAGACTCTACACATGAAAAAGATGGAGTTGAAAAAAAGAACTCTGGAGAACGGCCACAAAAGCAAGATCATTATGAAACGAGTGAAGTTCCTTTTGCAGTATATGTTTGTACTAGTACCAGTAATAGTAATAGTAATAGTACTAGTAGTGGTATAGATCCAAGTGAAGCTTATAATGCTCTTGGAGGACAAAAACGATTTTCTTTACCTTTACATTCCACATCTTCACATATTCCCTCAGATGCCAAGTGTGTACCCGTTATGTTACATTTTACCATGAGAGCACATCTTAAAGAATCTTCACCCTTAACAACAATTCCTTTACGTAATTATCATGATATGGTGATTTTAGTTGATCAAGTTCTTATAGATGTAATGAATGCAAAAGGGAGTCGAGTTACAAAAAATGATTTGGTTCCAAAAATAGTGGAATCTTATGCATTTGGATTTACATCTAATACCGCATATACGAATGAACTTAGTTTTCGTTCTCCATTTCTTAAGCCACCACCTATTCGTGTAGGAGAAGATGGAGGTGTACGTCCAGTGGATTTCTCTTTACTACATCCTTCTCAGGATGAACACCTATTAACAGCATTAGATATAGCTAAAAATCCAACCTCTATCTGTATTGTTTCTTCTGAATGTAAAAATGGGAATAAGAAAAGGATTGGAAATCGTGCTGTTTCTATTTCACGTTTTAAAACAGCACGGGATGGACTTTGTAAACCTTCTTATAAATCTCAATTAGTGATGGCACTTATTCGTCGTTTTACTACTGGAGAAGTGGAAGTGGAAAAGTGTGCAAATCCTATTGATCTTGCTTCTATTATTAATCAAGAATACTACTTTGATGGCGTTCGACAGTTGGAATTTTCTCTAGGAGAATATATGAGTTTTAGGATTCGAAGACGTTGTTTTAAAGATGCTGAAAGATACAGAAGTGAGTTACTTATGCCATTTGATTATGATAATAGTGGTGTTAATTGTGATGATCTTGATAAGGATGAGAGTTCAGTATTGTTTAATTCAGAACAGTTCTCTAAAGGATTAGTTGCAGAAGCTACATCTTCTCAACAAGATCAAGAGGATGAACAGCAACAACAACAACAGGAGAGTAATCAGAATAACCAAATGAAGTTTAAGGATCCTATTGGTTTTGATGTTCCTAATGTTATTTCAGCTGATTCTGGTTTTGAGAAAATAACTACTACTAATAATACTACTACTACATTAGGGTCTTTAAAAAAAGAAAAAGAAGTCCCTTCTGTACAGCGTTTAACTGACGATGTATTAACATCATACAATAACTACGAGGATCAGAGTTATCAGCCATCTGAAAAGACGAATTTGGAGACTAATCATGATAGAGAGGAACAAAGGAAAAGGTTAAATCTATATAATGAGAAGAGTAAGAGTGATGAAGTTAATATGGAATCATTAGCAAGAACAACATCATCATCATTAGTAGTAGTAGTAGAAACGGCAGGAGTAAAAACAATAACTTCTCCTGAATACAAGGAAATATTGAATCCCTTTGAAACAGGAATAAATCCTTTTAATTCTTTGTTGAATCACTCAACTTTGGTAACAAATGATGATTCCCATGGAGAAAACAGTATTGATTATTCTTTAAACCCTACGCGTACGGATGTTGTCTTTAGTTATAATTCTAATAAAGAGGATATTACCCAAACAACTAATCCAATTATTTCATTTGCACCATATTCATTTCAAGAGGAAAATAACCAAGAAGAAGAAGAAGGAAAGCAACAACAAGAAACAAAAGAGAAAAACGCTAATACTGATAATAACATTACGTTCGTACCAAACGCAGGGATGTGTACACTTGAGGTTGAGTATCAAGGAGATATTGGAACGTCAAACATTCATTAGGGATGAAAGTAATAATGTGTGTACGGCGTTTCTACAAGAGAAAATAAATTTGTTTCTCTCTAATACTCTTTTGATCCTTCCAGAAAATTATATATAAGTATGTCTCTCTCTCTGTGTTTTGTAGTATTTTGGTATTATTTATTTATTATTATTATTTTATTTTGGTTTCTTATATTTTAATTCTTAACGTTTATATTTA